AAACACAATAGAAATGAACTGGTTAAGTAGCAGATGCAACTCTCTTGTTGTCTTTAGGTAACTTTGACTTGATATAAAAATTTACGATATCATCATTAGCGGAACAAATCAGAGCCGGGTCGGGGCAAATGACCAGGCCCTTTACACAAAATAATAAAGCTCATGATAACATCATTTTATACAACATACACGTGCCTGCAACAGCAGGGCTTACAAGCTTCAGCACCACAGATTGACTATGTTATTTTGAAGTCCATCAAATGGACATGAAGTCTAAATAAACCAAGAAAACTATTGAAACATTCAGTTACTGATGATAACACAAATTGAAAACAGTTCAACACCACTTATAGCGGTCGGGTCATTTTGACACTCGCTTTATCTATTTCATCCCAGAGCCTGGACCCTATCAGTAGCTAAAGTTCAGTAAAACTGGCACAGCGGCCCACATGTTCACKAACACAATTTCAAAAAGAAGTACTCACCTGAAGGACACACAACGAGCCTTGGGCTCTGAGAACTTGTCCATGATGCTCTTTGATCTTATGAGTCCTCTCAGTCTTTCCTGTCCCACTGTGCTCCTCAAGTGCAGCATAAGTTATATGTAGTCTGTAATTTTTTCCTCAMTTTGCAGGTAGGCATATGCTGATGTGAACAGAACAATCTCCCAGATTTTTTTGAAGTTTTACGGATTTAAAAAAACGTAGTTTCAAAATTATTTAACATTTAAGAGCCCGTAGGACATTAAAAAAACAAACAAACAATAAATACCATCAAATAACCATCTTCCAACCCGTACTGCCACTATAAATGGGTGGGGGGGGGGGGGTACAACTCTAAAATAGACATATCTCAAAAAGCAATCAAACTTGTACTAAGTTGATTCACGTCAGAGTATTTATTTAAAAAATCCAAATAATAAAACAGTCATGCAGTTTTTATTTTTTGAACATAAATTTTGCCCCTCTGTTACTGAGAAGCAAATTTCATCATGACCGTGGTTGAAGACAGGGATGTTGTAACCAGATTCTTCTCTGTAGAGCATGGTCAGTGCAGTGAGATGTGATGTTGTACCTGAGGAAAGTCTGGATTCTCTTCAGTGTTGAGAAGCTCCTCTCAGATCCAGCTGTGAGGCATTCTGTGTGCCTGTCAACTGTTTTGCTCCTGTGGTTCCWTAATTGGTCAACAACTTCACCGCAGCTGCTGTTAATCAGGATCATCAGCTCTCAGGGTTCTTAAGGCTGTTCAGAAGACCAGATCCTCGCTGATGCATCGCATGCTCTAGGGTAAAGCATCTCAGCCCCTCCAAGTAACATTTATCTGAATCTTGTTAATCGTTGTTGCCTTGTTTACTTTCCTGTGTGCAGAAAAAAAAATCCTCCCGAGTGACCTGCGTCCCTGTCGACCTGTTTATGAAATTACCTGAGAGCCGCTCACCTGATCCCCTCCGTGCTGCTGTCTGTCTGCCTCCGACCATTACCGGAACCTGTAAGCCATTTGTGGACTCATCTGTAAATACTTACTGGTACATACTCACTGGAGCTGTGCCCTCCTCCCTGTGCTCCCTGGACCCACTGTTCCTGGCACCTGTAAATAAAATCACTTACACTTATACTCCTGATCTCCTGAGTCTGTTTGTCGTTTGCTGCTCAAGTTTGACTATTTCTGAAATCCTGATAGTATGCATCAGCCAAACACAAYGTCAAAGAGCAGCTYAAGTGACAATCAGCCCACGAGTTTTCAGGACTCAGTTATAAGAACATCACAATATGATTCAACAGTTATGTTTACTATAACAGGACATCTCTGCCATGTTAAATCAAGTTTCTAACAGAGTTTTTGCCATAGATGATAAACTTGCTACGTTGATGCATGCTACACCTGTAAACCCACCGGTTTCCGCCTCCCAGCTWGTCAACCCAGCTCTCACAACTCGAGAACCAGATTTGCGACCTTCTGAAATGTTTGAAAGTAATATAGACCACTGTGGGGGATTTTTGTTACAGTGCAGGCTGGCTTTTGTTCGTTCTCCCTCTTTATTTCCTTCAAACTTTGCTCGCAATACATACATTGTTTCTGCCTTAAAAGGAAAGATGTTACGCTGGGCACAAGCATTTTTAGCCTCACATGCACTTGAAACCCTCTCATCCCAGTTGTTTATTCAGAAGTTCGAACGTATGTTTAACCATCCCCTCCAGCAGGAGGAAGCCTCCAAGCGTCTGCTCTCCCTTCGCCAAGGGCRGAAGTCAGTGGCTGAACATTCGGTGGATTTCCGCGTTCTCGTTGGGATGAACTGGCACTAAAAGGTACTTTCACTAACTCACTTTCTGAACCCATCAAAGGCCAGCTTGCCTCCTGGGATGAACCTGGGAGTTTGGGTGAATTGATCTCTCTTTCCATCCGCATTGACAACARGCTCCGTGAACATCGTAAGGAGAAGGACTCCATCTTCCACAATCCCCGGGTTACCAGTTTCCGCCCACCTGTGGGATCTTCATCCAATCARTTTCGGCTATCAAGCGAACCGGAACCAGAACCGATGCAGGTCGGTCGAACCTGTTTGTCCCCCGAAGAGCGGCAGAGACATTTTTCTGCAAAGGTATACCTTTATTGTGGAAATAAGGGACATTTTGTGGCCACCTGTCCAGTGCKGGGAAACGGTCCGGCCCGTCAGTAATGCAGGGGATATTGCCAGGACCGTCCAAACTTTCCTCTGCCTCTCTGTTATCTCTGCCCGACACAATCATCTCTGACCAGAACAAGTTACCTATTTCTGCCCTGGTGGATTCGGGAGCAGAGCAGAACCTTATTTCCTGTGATCTCGTGGACCAGCTATAAATCTCCACCACTCCTCTTGAAACTCCTCAATTCCATTGCTGGAGTCACTGGACAACTACTCACCCATTTCAACCGCAAAATGTGCAACCTATATGTGATAGTGTCTGGCAATCATCACGAGTTTGGTGAGTTCCTTGTTTTTGATTCCTCCTCACCTCAGTTGTTTTTTGGTTTCCCGTGGCTTGAGGTTCATAACCCTGTTTTCAACTGGAAAGAGAAACTGAGTCCTGGAGTAAGTTCTGCTCTCTGAACTGTTTAAAGTTGGCCATTACCATTTSTGTTAAAAGAGATGAACCCATGGAGGAAACATATTTGTCTAAGGTCCCACCAGTGGCGGYTGGTGGACTTTTCTCCAGGTGGGGCTACAACTCCAAAATACATATCTCAGAAAGCAATCAAACGTACTGTTGTATCACGACAGTGTATCTATTAAACAAATGAAAATAATAAAACAGCATTACAATGTCATGTAGTGTTATTTTTTTGTACATAAATTTTGCTCTTCTGTTACTGAGAAGCAAATGTCTTCATGACTGGTTAAAGTCAGGGATGTTTTAATAAGATTCTTCTATAGATCATGGTCATTGCAGTGAGATGTGATGTTGTACCTGAGGAAAGTCTGGATTGTCTTCAGTGTTGAGAAGCTCCTCTCAGATTCAGCTGTGGTCAGAGGAGATGTGATGAGAATCTTCAGCAGAGTCACAGTCTCTGAAGGTGTCCAGCAGATTGTTCCTCATGAACAKCTGGTCCTGTTCAGCACTGGGCGAGCCTCCATGGTCTTCTGAGCTGCTTCAGATAATTGTCAGTCTGCAGCAGTGTAGCACTGATCTCCTGATTATTTCTACCGTTTTACAGACAGATCCCTCACAAAGTGGTCAGTAGGTGCAGGGGTGCTGATTCTGCACAATCACAGTGAGAGAGTACAGTTACCCACTAGGTGGTTTTGTAAAGTTATCTCAAGCTGAGATATATGCAATCAACCAACTGGGAAGAATTAATAGTGTTACTATTAAATGGGTACCAGGACACACTGGCATTTATGGTAACGAGAGAGCTGACTACCTTGCAAGAGCTGGCAGTCAAGCCCACTTTAAAGGACCAGAGCCTGCTATGGGCGTTTCAACAACAATCTGCAGGACTGCCCTACAGGCATGGATCAGACGTCAACACTCAATCCGCTGAAGGGAGCTGACAGATTGCAGACAGGTGCGAGAACTGATAAATGGCCCAAATCCTTGGTTTGGAAAAGCCCTTCTTACCTTGACAAGGAAAACTTTAAATACTCTGGTTGGAGACCTAAATGGACACAACTTGCTCAATCGCCATAAAATGGTGATGGGACTCCATGAAAATGGTCTGTGCGATGCCTGCGGCATTGAATTAGAGACCTCTTTGCACTACTTGGGCCAATGCTTGGCCCTGAGTAATTGAAGGGGAAGAATTCTTGGAGAAACTTTTATGGATCCTGAGAAGGTTAGAACATTGAGTGTTTCTAACCTGGTGTCCTTCTTCCGAGGGACGCGAAGGTTTGATTAAAAGCTCAGTGTCTCTTTTGGGGAGAGTAATGGGCCCACTTATGAGGCTCCCGCTCACATGGGTTTTACCCATCCCCCATATACCATAAACCATACATCAGCAAATATCTCAGAGTTTCACAGGACTAGTTACCATGGAATCATATGGGCACTTATTTTTTGTGCATCTGAATGAAGGATAATAGGAACAAACAGGCTCAATCCTTACAACAGGCTTTCTTTCWCCTGTGTAATAGCTCTAAAATTAGAATCATCTTGCCCCAAAATGATGCAGAAAAGTCCATTTAATTATCATTATTTGGATGACAAAAAACCCTGCGAAACATCTCCAGTTCATCTAGGCATGAGAGGCAGAGATCCTCCATTTCAGTGGTCTGAAGGTTTACTTGTGATTTCTAAAGTAACCTGCTAACCCCATCATCTCATTTCACTTTATCATTCTTTGCTCAGCGTTTGTACAACTGAGTTGTGGTCATGTGTGTATTCAAAGGTTAGCTGTGGTGGCCATCTTCAATTGCATCGACTCCAAAGGTAAACAAGTTGTTCATATTACAYTGAGCCTTTCATTCATTATGCCAGCGGACCACATGGGCAACAACCATACAACAGAACAGACACTGAAACATCTTACAGCTGATATGCAGTTTTATTTGAATATTATCACACATTTTTCTACATCAGKTTTCCTTCAACCTCAGTGCATTTCATAGGTTAAAAATCAGAAAGCAGGAGAACGACAACACCTGGGATTTTGGGAAAAATAAAAAAAAAAGAGCTCAGTCCACTTCCCTCAACCTCAAGCACCGTTTCTTGAGAAGAAAAATGGGAAAACACGCCATAAAAACCAGAACATACTGTACGTCAGTGCATCRTTCAGGTGAGAAAGTGATGAAAAAAGCGTCAATTCTTCACTGGAAGAGACGCTCAGAAAAAAYGCTGAGTAAGGCACCAGGACTGGGTGGGAGTAGCTTATTGACGGCAGGGTGGATTTAGCCGCTTTACATACAATTCGAGGCTAAAACGTCTAAAAACAAACAGCATTATGGATCAGAAACACTGATGGAACATTTCTATACAAAATGCAGCTCTAAAAATTAGAGCAATTAAAGCACAGGATAGGAGATAACCACACTTTTAAAGAAAAAATATTTATTGCATTAAAAAAACAAAAAAMCCCACATTTAATTAAAAGCTTTTTAACGATAGACACAGAAACACATGTAGTCAGAGACTTGGTGCAATCAGCCGAGACATTTTGTCGTCATGCATAAGGATCCAAAAAATAAATAAAACAAGTCGGGGAGAAATTTTTAGATGCATTCCCATGTGATTTATTTATTTCTTTTATAAACTAATTTGTCAGCTAATCTATGACATGCCGTTCCGACATATTTTAAGAGCGATCAGTCATTAAAGCGCTTTGCCGAAAAAAATATGGTGATTTTATTAGCGAAAAAAATAAATAAACTGTAACACTGCCTGATTTAAATGTAATTTATTCATTTATATAAACCGGTGCAAAATAAACTGTTCAAAAACATGAAATGATTTATATGAACTATACTATAAAGTGTTTATTATCATTTATGTTACATCAGTGAACAGACTATTTCTACAATATAGTACATTATAAACCATCTGTTACATGTTTGAACTGTTAATGAATAGAATAAAGAAATGTAAAGATGCAAAGAWGGGAAAACACGTATGGTGTAATCTGAATTACCTTTTAGGATTAGAGATTATATAGATGACGTAATARACTGCGTGGCAAAAACAGTGCAAGTTTCCCCAAGTTTTAAAATGTTATTACYTGCATTAAATTATAAATACAACAACATATTAGAGCACATAAAATTGGGGAGGGGGAGGCAAAATTCCTTAAAAAAAAGGAAAAAGTTATATCTGTGATTAAATTGAAACACTTCTAACTAGTGAGTGAAAAATTTATTAGGATAAAAAGACAAATATTCAAATTTACAGGAACAAAAAGTGAGCTTTGCAAAGAATATATTTCAAATAAGTAGCTAATTTCACAACAACAAACTTGCAAACTTGTGTTTTTGCCTATAGTCTCAAAAACTTTTGGGTTTTTATTCTTTTATTCCTTTCCATTCATTTCACCTCAGATAGCAATAAAAAACAAATCTGAATAGAATTTTGCCAACTTTTCCAACCAGGAAAAAAATTTAAATAAAATAAAATAAACCCCCCTATCGGTCTGATTTGCTGCTGTAAGTGTGGGAATCTTGTCCAGTGTTACCAACTTTACTCTAGAAATTTGYCCCCGATTTTAGAATCACATTTCATCCCAACTTGCCTCGGTTTCTTTAGTCATTCAGATAAAAAGCCTGAAATGAGCCATCACACTGGATTAATGAATTTCAGGCCATTTGTTTTTTCCACCCCCATTCTCAGTCACCTTTGTTAGAAATCGAAGAGATGAAGAAAAGAAACAAGATTAGAGCGTCATTCATCGGACTGTCTTAAGGCTGTGAGTACCTGTACAAGAATGTGTTTTCATCCATGTTGGATTGTATAAAATAAAAAGGTCAGCAGTACAAAAGCTGCTCTGTGAGCATCGCGCCGCGTCTCTGTGTAGAGCATGCTCTCATGTCATACCTGCATGCATGTGTGCACACAGACACGCCCCCAATCCACCTTTCTTTAAAACACTGAAGGAACTAGGACTTGGATGAAGAGTTTTTCCATAGTGGCTTGCGGTAAAACCAGCCGTCACCCTGGAGGAGGAGAAGAGACCGCCATCAGTGTTTCCTTATTTTTTTGCGTTGGGAAAACTCCTGCAACAAGTACCGTGGAGCTGCTCACCTCTCGGTCGAAGTATCGGGTCCTCCAAAGCGTCTCGGTCTCGGCGCGGTGCCGCTCCTCTGTCCGCTGCCGCTCCTCCAGGACCCTCTTGTGCTCGGTGGCTTTGTCGATGTTTTTCTGCCGTAAAGCCTCCGTCACGTGCTGCCAGAGGCGCCTGTGAAAACATCGATGAAGTTAAACGGCYGCATCGTTCCATTTCGACGTCGAACGAACCGGACGGAAAACCTGATCCRACCTGGACTCGGTGGGCGCCTGCTTCTCCACCGGCCGGACGCGCTTCCTGGTCACGGGCAGTTTGGTGACGTCGACCACCTTCGTCTCCCCGCCGGTGTAGCTGAACTCCAACACACCGTTCCACTCGCCTTGCACCCGGCACACCACCGCGTTGGTGTGGTTGTGCTTCACCTCTGCTGTTACTCTAAAGCAGACGCAGGAAGGTGACGCAGACACTAAACAGAGTGAAACGTTAACCTGCACCACGGGAGAGGCCTTACTTGTGGAGTTTGCCTCCGTAAAATGGTTTYGTCTGGAACGTGATGACCGCGGAGTAGCCGGATTTGGCGCAGCTGATGTTGACTTTGCCGCCCAGCTCCACCCAGGGAACGGTGAGGATGGAGCGAGCGTAGGCGCAGGGCAGCGTGAAGGTGTATTCTTCGTCATGCTCCAGCAAATGCAGGCAACCTTGAAGAATAGGAACAAATAAATAAACAAACACCAGCTAAACACCTTTTTAGTCCTCCTTGGTAAGCTATCCCGAAAATTCAATCCCAACTGCTCATCAATTACTTACAGCAGTAATTAAATATAAATTGCGTGGGATCACTGCTTTGCAATCCACTTTGCAGAAATGTAAACACAGAAAAGCAAAGCACAATTTAGAAATTGATGGGTATTTTTGATACAAGTGCATGAAAACCCCATCTGTCTATAATCTATAAAAATACCCAACAACATAAAAATTTGGCAGATTCTTATTTCTCTTTGGCAGTGATTTAAAGTTAGTTAATGCTGTTACTTTTAACATTTCTGGATGCTCATTTACAGACAAAAAAAGCGTTTCCCCATGAAAATAGACAGTTTGCTAACCCCCAACCCAACCCCTTTCAACGATCTATTTCAGGAAAAAGGTTTCTGCCATTGTAGTTTATTCGTCCGTCCGTTTTCTTCCTCTTATCCGGAATCGGGTCTTTGGGGGCAGCAGCCTAAGCAGAGAGACCCAGACTTCCCTCTCCCCAGCTCCTCTGGAGGAATCCCAAGGTGTTCCCAGGCCAGCCGAGAAACATAGTCCCTCCAGAGTGTCCTGGGTCTTCCTCTGGGCCTCGTCCCAGTGGGACATGCCTGGAACACCTCACCAGGGAGGCGTCCAGGAGGCATCCTAACCAGATGAACCACCTCAACTGGCTCCTCTCGACGTGGAGGAGCAGCAGCTCTACTCTGAGTCCCTCCTGGATGACTGAGCTTCCTGGATGACCATTGTAGTTTATTTCGAAAGGATTTTAAAGTGAGAACTAGGGTCAGTGAACTTCGCACCCCGCCTCCACAGTGATCCATTGCAGTGGTTCCCAACCCTGGTCCTCGAGGAACCCTATCCTGCATGTTTTAGTCGTTTCTTTGCTCTGTAATAGAACTAATACTTTTATGTTTAAGTAAGTAATTCATGACATCCTTTAATGACCTAGGTTTTCATGACATGCTGTTCAGCTACAGACAGAATGATTAAAGTCAGAACAAGATTTGCTAACAACAGTCATTCTTAGATATCACTTGTGTTTATCTTTGTTTTCCATTGACCTTGTATCAAATCTTGCTAAGATGGCATAATGGTGTTTGTTAGTATATATATGAGGCCTCTCGAGACACAGTGTTCAACAGAGTTCAACAGTAGTGTGGAGAGACTGAAGAGAGAAGCAGAGGCACAGAGACAGKRCAGGTTGTTCTCTGTGTTTCCTGTTGTTGCAATAAAACTCAGCTGATCATCTCACAGAGTACCTTCATTCTTGGACCACGTATTTCTGTCTTTGTTAAATAAATATTACCATAACAGCTCTTTAGCAGGTCTTCAGAAACCTGTTAATCTCTCTGTCCAACATTTAAGTTTGTCAAAGCAGGGAAACATGCAGGATAGTGGACCTCAAGGACCAGGGTTGGGAACCACTGATCCACTGGACCAGTGAAACGGACAAGATGTAAAGATCCCCAGCTAGCAGAGACGTGGTTTGAGAGGGTTTTTCAGCTGCAGGACTTGAGTTGAGAAAACTTTAGCTCACTAAAACTCCCAGCTGTCATTTTTTAAGCAAAAACATGAAACAAGCAACAGTTCTACATCAAAAGCTTTGATTGGCTGCTTATTAAGACTACTTTTAAACAGCTTGTTGTCCTGACACTTGTACAATTAGCCCTGCAAATTAAACACTAGTTGAGAAGCATAGATTGCTACATGGTTTGGAGTGATCGCTGGTAGGATGAGGAGGGAAGATTGAAGAGTGAATAGTCAAAGAACATCTGAATATTTACAGACGAGCTCTAAGAAWGGTTTTTGTTGTAAATGCCCATTCCTCGCAGATTAATCTCCTACGATTCTGCCTCGCCCATTTCTGCATGTTATCACAACAGCTTCATGCTGTTTACAACCTGGAGCGTCGTAGCATACTTTGATATAAATATAATAAAGAAAAAGCAGCAACATTACAGTATCGGTTTTGGAAATTTGCCACTCAGGAACTGAACTTTACTGTTGGATCGGAAAGTACGTTTTCTGAAGAACCGGAGCGAGTAGAGAGACGACGTTGCAGCTGGTAAGCTCAGTCACACACACACTTCAAGGTTAAGCTAATTTATTTCTTACTAAAATGTGGTGTAAGCCAATTAAAGAACATAGACGGTGTACACAGGAGTTTTTCAGCTGACCTGGCAGATGGCACCAGTGTTTATTTACGTCTGAGTGTTGGAAATGCATCATCTTTTAGTGATAATATTGTTAGTTAACTATTAAATTCCCTTTTGTTCAGAAAGCTATGATCTGTAAAGTGACTAAATAAATTTTTTTTAAATTTTTTTCGTTAGAGGGTTAATTCCAAAATTGAAGTCAAACCATTTTTAAAGAACCGTGTCATCCATGGAAAGCTTAAAAAGAGAGTAGTCTCACTGGTATCCGAAAAATACATTTCTTCAAAGGCATCTTTTAATCCAAAAAGACTGCAGTGAGAGGTAGTTAGTTTTAGGAGCTCTGCAGACACAGTTTCACCCGGTGTTTGCTAGTTGTTGCTGCTGATAGCCTGCAGGGGAGGTGTGTTCTGTGATGAGAAAGCTCAGCTTGGAGACACAGCCCAGAGGAGGAGCTGCTCCCAAAAGGTGGTTCTAGGCTTAACCTGTCGTTTTTGCTCCACTGCCTGGCTGCCTCAGGACACTGCAGGATTTCTCAAACATGCATGAATGAGTCAAAGTAAGACTCTGGGCATGTTTTTTATGAGAGTATAACATTATAACATGATATAAAACTCAAAAAAGTTGATTTAACATGATATAGTCCCTTTAAATTAGGACAAATGCTTGGCGCATCCAATAGTAGTAATAGTAGTAATAGTAGTAGTAGTAATAATAATAACAATAATAATAATAATAATAATAATAATAATAATAATTTCTTTGTTCTTGAAGATCTTTCACCAAATCAAAAAAGGTTTTCTTACATTTAGAATCAGTGAACAAGCTTTCACTGAGAGCTGACACACCTACCAGAGATAACCACGACCTGAATGATTAAGAATGGACAGTTTTGGTTTGAAGACAGTGTCTCTCACCTTCTCCAATCATGGACACTCCAATGGACATCCCCATGAACTTGCTCTTGGTCCACACGTGTGTGTTGACACACATCCTTCTCTCTTGGCACTCGGCGTAGAAGCCCGACACCGGGGGATGGTGGGACACCTGCTCGGCCACAAAGCGCAGCTGGTCGAACTCCTGGGCTGAGGGAGCGTTGGGGGGTTCTGGGCTCCCCAGCGAGGGCTCCTTGGGGGAGTCTTGTCTCCTGGGCACCCTCCAGGAGCAGTGGAACGTCTCGCCGATGATGGGGTTGTAGGGCTTCTTGGCGATGGCGCCCTTGCGGCCCTCGTGGAAGGAGGTGAGGTAATACTCCACGAAGCGGACCATGCGGTCCTCCGGGCTGCTGCCGTCCGTGATGGCAATGAAGAGGTCCGGGTGGGACATGAAGTCTGCGTACATTTCCAGCAGAGAACGCTTCTCCAGGATGAAAGTGGGGAGGACCACCTGCAGGGAGATTAATCATTTTAAAAACAACACGTCACAGAATCACAGCTACGGAGTGACGATGAAACGGCAGTAATCAAAGCTGTCAGMGGGCCACAGACCAACAGGGAGGAATCAGAAACCAGACAGGAGGATTGAATGTCACTCAAGGTGGTGTCCTGGATCAGTGGTTACAAACTGAGATAAGCTCTCGTTGCTTTGTAAGATGAACCACAATCTGCATGTGTGGCAAGGCTGGCAGAGGAATCAGCTCATTTTATTTGAAATAAATCTGTAACTCAGTTAAAGCCATGCTTTTACTGGATCCATACCCATGTTCTCTCCATTGCACTGTAATTCAGTTTATATTTCATTTGATTTATTAACACAGGTACAACACCATTTTACTCAAGGTTTATTTATTCTTACTACATCTCAATGAGAGTACCAATGACTTTTCTTCTTTTTGATAAAATGCTTCTAATAACAGAACAAGTAATTTCAGTGGATAATCCTGACTGACACACACTGACACAGACAAGCCTCCAAACTAACAAAGTATAAAAAACACTTCATTCACAGGTAAAATCAACATGCAGGCTTTTTACGTTTCTTCAAATAAGTTCTAACATGAAAAACTCTGTTCATTCTGTCCTTTAAAGCTACAGCTTCAATGAGTTTCAACAGGAAGTAATTTCAACAGTCAAACTATGTTCAAGTGCAAACAGCTGATACAGAGTTGTTGAAACCGCTGACTATATAGTGCATTTATTTCTTTGTATTGTGTCTCTTTCCTGTCCGCAAACCCAGTCGGTCGAGGCAGATGGTCTCCTGTCCTGAGCCTGGTTCTGCTGGAGGTTTCTTCCTGATTAGCAGGGAGTTTTTCCTCTCCACCGTTTGCTCAGGATGGGAGACTGTGATGAAGTGATTCAACACAATCTGCTGTAGGGCTGCAACAACGAATCGATAAAATTGATAAAAAAACGATTATTAAAAGCGTTGGCAATGAATTTCATTATCGATTCGTTGTGTCGCGCGATTTATGCGTCCCTCGCCGTGTCRCGGAGCCATTTACGTCATGCAGGGTGTTGTCAATGCTGACTGACCTAAATAAAGTTTAGGAAGAAAAAAAACTCTACCTGTACAGATCCATCCTTTCCAACTCTCAAGAGAAAAGTAGAGACTTCGAACTTTAAACCAGTTTTTTAATCGTGTTGTTAGGCCAAGTAGATCCGAAAATATGATAAAAAGTATCTGCCACAGTGTTTTTAAAAGATGGTCTGATGCGGGGGGGGGGGGACCGGGACCTCAATCCACCGTTTGTTTCGTCCTCCTCCTCGGGCCAAAAGTATATAAAAACCCTCCAGTTTTTTTCTGACTGARGCTCAAAGTTATTTATTTGTTGAGCAGCAAAAAGGTTCAGGACGAAGGAATAAAAAACAACAAAAAAAAGATGCGATTGAGCAGCAGGTCTGCAGGGAGAGGGGAGGAGGAGGAGGGTGGGGCTGCTTCAGAACCGCTTTTACTGGGTCAAATAATGTTTTAGTCAGACAGAACCAACAAGAATGAAGCAAAATGTAAAGAGTTAGAGAAAAATTATAAATGTTAAATGTAAAATTCTAAATATAGTAAATTAATAGTAGTTTTACATCTAAAAATCATTTTTTATTATTTTAATCTATTTTCCTCATTCAGCAACCTATTAAATTTCTGTTATGTTTCATGTATGAGAAACACGATTTTTTTCCAGTCAGTATTTAATACAACTGGCAAAATAAATTG